TGATAATTCTTATTAGATAGTGCATTGAAGAAGACGCTGAACATTTTATTCACTCTGAATTAACAGCTAGTGTTTTAGATATCAGGACTAAATTGGTTAGGAGCTAACCGAGAACAATAAAATTCAAAACGGTACTGTCAAATAATCAATCAAGTAGTAAGTTACAATACATTGAATAGTGGTGACAAACAACAAATCAATTTATGTTATTCCACTTCACATAATGGCAATGATTTGCTTGCGTTTTCATGAGATATCTTGGTTACTGTTTGTTAATAACCTTTATTGTGAACATTTTCATTGTTTACACACAGAAAAAATTTATCTCGCTGCCTTAGTTTCTGTAACGTAAGAGTGAGATGTCTTTTATTATATAAAGTTTCCTCAAGATTAGGGCCATATCCATGAATGTTTAACAACATTCTTCTGATTGGAGAGAAATTAAAGAACAGTATTCAATTTACTGCTTATCTGGTGTTTATTAGTTAAAACATGTATTAAGCTAGATTTTTTCGACTGTGAGGTAGGCTATTAAAAATTACAGGATGAAATGAAGATCAAAATTTCAAGGAAAACAGTAAGCCAGTGTTGTGTTTTTTGTCAAATTTAATTCCAAAATACTTCAACTTATTTCACTGTTTTTAATCATGTGTTTCAGTATATTTTGAGAGATATTTTCTTGCCTAAATTTGATTTTGTACACTGGTGTGGTGTATGCCACCTATGTCTGTTGACATAATTAATGTGTAACACCAGTCAGAAGTGGAATGGCTGACAGCTGAAGGTTGAGAAGATCGGATTGAAGAGAATGGAAATGTGAACAGAGAGTGATTGCAATAGTCGTGAAGGAACGATGGAGTGCGTTCATTACACTAGTAATAATCAGTACTACTTAAATTTTAGACTTTCGTTGTGAAGATAATTCAGTCTTCAAGCGGGTAAAGAAAATATCATACACCTATTGTCATATGTCATCTAAAGTAATATTGTGGTAAAATATTTTAACTGCAAAAGAAGTTGCACAACACTATCCGTTAAGAATAAACATATTTTGCTCAAATTGACAAATTTGAAACATAAAGTGTTTCATGAATTAAGAAGCATATCTATGATATTGAATTTTATTAGTGTAAGTAATGACAGTTACCCAAGAAATAAGCACATTTGAACTGATAAACTGTAACTCACCAATGTTTGTGATATTTTCGAAGTATATTAACAACTGATCATTTTGATCGGTTGGATAAGTGGACAAATAGTTAGATGAGTAAGCAGTTGTTGTGTAAAATAAGTTAGAACCCAAACTTATTTTAAAATCTTCAATAGTTATTATAGATTCATTGGTGTTGTTGCTTCCAGTTCCACTGATTTGTATTGTAGATTTCAGATAGGTGGAGTTCAGTGGGAATATATATTTCACATTGATAGTTGTTATTTGACCTGGCTGTAGCGTTACACTAGATGGACTTACTTCAATCATAATCTGAAATGAAATATTCTAAGCTTTAATCTAACAAAACTGGTCGACTATTATTTAAGGTACAGATGTTACTTGAATTAAAAAAGACAATTTCAAAATGACGAATCTTTGTCTAATGTTCTTTATAGAAGTTTTAATGAAACACCGTGTTTAACTACACCTCTGTTGTAATATATTAGTGCAACTACGAAACTGGTATATTGAGATAAATGATGATCTCAAGAATGTATACAGCCTAAATAAATATAATTCATGTACGTATTCAGAGGTGGATATCTATACCGGATAGAGACAAGCTTGGAATGAACGTTTTCAGTGCATAATCCACTGATCACAGATTTCCGACCGTTGCATCTGATATCAGATACAAACTTGAAGTATTATGTGATTTTTGTGGTTTGTTCAATATCTCAACCTAGGTTTATGCATAGACATTTAATTTCAAATAATATCAATGTATTTAAGACGAATAAGTGGAAATTACAATCCGAGTCTATTTTCAGACATTTAGAATTCATCGTTAGAATTCATGATCTTAACCTTCAACCAATTAATGTAGTTTAGAAGCATGTTTAATCATTCTCAGTGATAGTTTATCGAGAAATGTTATAGTAATTCATCAGTTTTATGCTGAAAAGTATACTTTGATTACTTTGCTCATGTATTGGGTGATCGAGAAGTAATATATGCTTTCTCTACTCAGTTGATATTATTTCGCCAGTATTATGGCCTTCATTCCTATTTTACTGTTTAACATGATATACAGTGATTGTTCTATACTTCATGGTCTGTGTTGTCCTTAAATAGTATAATCAATTTCTGTTAATATGGAACTACCATTCACAAGTTTTGTTTAATGGATGATCTTACAAATCGTGTACATCTGTTTGTTATGTAGCATAAATTCCATCTTACATGATCGTAAAATATCACTGGAAACTTCATTATATCACATAGTTTGGTGAAATTGATTTTTTGAGATGTGTATTCTTCGAAAAATTAGTCTAATGCACACCGAAATACAAGTGACTTGTCATTTTGATTAATTGGAATAACCTTAATCAATATTGAAACGGACACATTGTCTCTGTTCATTTCGAATATGAACAACAAACAGAAAACTGAACACCATTGTTTTCAATTGGTTCGTTATCAGACTTAGCTCTAATATGCAGTTCTATTTGCATGAAAGTTAATTCTGATGAAAATCTAATGGTAAACTACATTGTGTGGTTCTATTTTTGTTTTTCTAATTTACATTATGAGAATTTTCAACCATTTATTTTGAAGCTGATTTGAATATCTGTCAGTTACGATCAGGATGCTCAAGCTTTATGCTTTTATCAAATATGTACCGATGGATACCCTTTTTCGATACATATTTCCTTTAAGAGATTCAGTTGATTATCTATAACTTCAGGATTAAATATTCTTTGTATCCGTGTGGCGAAGAATATCATCAAAAAATAAAACTGACAAATGATCTTAATTCAGTCTATGACAGATAATGTCAACGTTTTAAATGATTTTGAAATTACTGAAGATACCTAAGAGTGCACAGAGTCAACAGGATCGACAACACCATGAATATGTGTTTTGCTTAAACTTTACAAACCTGCACTACCCCTCCGAATAGTTCTTCATAGGTTTGGGTCATATTACGACTCTATAGCAAAATGGTTGAGAGATTGCCTGCAACTCATAGGAAAACATATTTGTATATATTCCCTACATGACACTCCCGAATTTATTGATTAGATACAAGAAGTGAATATAAATGACCAACTTATCCTTTTATTTGATCTTCAATTAGCATTCATCAATTTCCTAATCACAAAGACTATTTGCTTTATAAATGATCATGGGATTAATATCGCACTATAAAAACCTTACTAAAAGGAATTAATATGACGATGCACCTGTGATGTACACTTTAAATTTAGCGACGTAATTTATAGACTAAAAGATTGCACAGGAATGGGATCCTCTCTTGACCGATTACTAGCAGATTGTGTCCAATCTGGAAAACAATGAACTTAAAGCAACTATTGACAACTCCCACTAATATAAAAGATACGTGAATGATATCTCTATGAATTGCAACAACAAACATTATTTGATTAATCATCTTCTGCAAACATTTGATTTTTACCACACAGCAATAAATTTCACACTAGGAGTTGAAAATAAACAAAGTATTGACTTTCTTTATGTCACATTGACAGTAAATCATGAAGAAACTGTAAGAAGTTCTATCTACTAGAAACCTTCATGGAATGGTCAGCTATAATGCTTTCACGTCAGGATCCACATCAATCAAAAGCATTATTAAATCATACTCCTAGTCAAACGAAAATTTAGAATTTGTTGTCTCGAGTTCATAGATAACGAAATGATTCACGTAAAGAGAATAACTGTAGACAACATATCTCTATTGGTATTTATTGAAACGAATATAAAACACAAGCCTTCTAAAGCACAACTGATGAGTCTTGCAGACTGAACGCTCTGTTCGTCTCCTAAGCTATTCTGTAACCCTCAAGCTAGAACTAGACAGCAACCTGAACACGAGAGAGAAGACTCGAAGTTTACGAGAAGTACTTTACCCAAGGTTCATTTTAATACAGAAAATACAGGGTTTTTATAATATTTTAAATGTCCTTGGGATGCTAGATTCTGGAATGCTACTAAACATAGTAGCAGTATAGAAGCCAACCAATCAGAGCCTCTGTATGAGACGATTCGCTTCCTTGATATTTTTGGCAAAAACTCCAAGTGAACGCTGATTGAATGAAACGCCTCTTAGTGTTTCCTGATGCTTGCTTGTCTTTTGAAAGCAATTTTCTGGATCACCTCAATCACAACTAGCCCCCTTACCAAGCTTCAGACATCGTGAAGAAGGTAATTCCCGACTCTCTCAGTAGAACATTCATTGCAATAACTTTGTGACTAATGTTCTCCAACCGATCAATATTCATTAACAATCTCAAAGATAAATTATCACATTCGACTAATTCTATTTCTGTCTATCAATTTACATGTTCATGTGGAGCTAGGTATTTGGGTCGTCCGATGCGTATTTCATCCAAAATAAATCAAGAACACTGTCTGAAAAGAGGCGAGAATGGCTTAATAAGAAGCTCAACAATTGAACACCTTGTGAACACAGGTCATTCAATGAAAATTGACTCTGCTTTCAAAGTTATTTGCAAGGTAAGTGGAAAGCTGTCAGAGGCAGTTGTATTGGCATTGCAGAAACATCTGCTGTGTATGTGTGTGTACCATGACCTTAATCTCTCGTAACTTTTTATTCGTTCCTTCTTTCATGATCATCTACTTCACTTCTATCTTCACTACAGACCCTTGATTTTTTCTGTTTCTATGATCTTACCAAATACAATTCATCTCGATTTCAGCATTTTATCTTATCATGTTGGGCTTTTCCTATACAATTAACTGTGTAAAACATAGAAATATGAAAATGTTTGAGTAATAACAAGAAGTTGAAATTATTTCTAAATCAATTATAGCTTACCTTGGTGTATATTGGGAAACTTGGCATTGGACTCAATACCAAAGACTGGCCGGTAAAATTTTTTGTACTCCCACTGATATTAACAAATGTTGGGAAAGTGTATTTTATTGTCGTTGTCACATTGCAATCTCCCATTAAATAAAGAGTATGTTTAAATTGCGTCTACACAATAAAAAAGAATCACATTGTTATGGTGTAAAATAATAATGAAAAACAGAAAAATGTTTAATTACAGTATTGTATTGATTTCTTATATCATCAACATATCACCGTTGTATTCGAAGAATTATCTTACTGCTTAAGCGTCGTATCAATAGGCCAAATGTCAGGACTAACATAAATTATGTCTTTTCCATTGATGATCAGTAGGTGAGTTACAATTTCATGAATTTCGTCGATGAATAAATAAATCCATCTTCCAGAAAATTGGCAGGAATTTAATGTGGATATTAAAATGTGAAATAATCGATCATAAATACATACGTCAGGCCAACAATTTAAATTCGGAATCTAGAAGTGACCTAAACTAACATTGTGTCACTACCACTCAGTGTTTTCGTTATCATAAAAGTCAAGTATATTTTTATTTGTAAGTAGCCTAATTACTTGACACTCACTACAAAGATACTTTATTTATATCTTGTCTAATTCTAAGAAATGCCAATAATTACGTTATGAATTTCGGCAGAAAACCTTAAAATATTCCAATGACGTGTATCTCACTAAGATCAAGGCGAATGACTCGTACATTATAAATGACGGTAATAGTTACTACATTTTGTTTCACCAGAAGATAAAATCAGAAAATTTGCGAACACACTAGAATTCAAGGAGTAACTGATGTTTACCATATCATCTCAGAATGTAATCACCATCAAATACCTGTAAAATAACAGAACTCATTCTGATGTTTACTATGTTCGTCTTCAGATTGGCAGTCATATGCCTACCATGGTCTTCGAACCGTCTAACGAACCATCAGTAGTGAAAACAATACTGACAATAATGGAACTGTCAACACTAATTAACACTTTACCTTCTGGTGTTCAACTGAAGTTGATTCTGGTTAACTCTTGGACAGACATTTAGATTTGAGGGTAGTGAGAAATCCTCACTATCAAAGCTACTGAGCATGTTTAGACAATCACGTTGAAAGTGAAATATAGACCATGTTGATTTTGATTGGATTCGAAATGTAAACTTTGATTTGTATATCTTACTAACTACACTTAAATTTGTTACTAATTTTTTCTGTTGTTTGTGACAAAAATTTGTGTAACTGCGTTTCATGCAGTTTTTAGGTTTCTGGTCGAAACTACTTAATGCATTCATTATGTTGCCATTAACAACTCGAAAATTGATTTAAATGTATTTTACTATAATTGCATAAGGGATCAAGCATGTTTATTTTCAATTTTTATTTAAGAACACAATCCCGACACAGTTTTATCTGAACACAGTGTACAACAGAACACTTACTATTGTGTAGACTTACACAGTAAGAATTTTGATTGATGGTGCATAATGGGCCGTAATCCACTCTCACATAACTGAAGAAAATAAACAAAAATCATTAATTTTATGGTTTGTTTGTACGTGTTAGAGGAGTAATGGGGTGCATTACCAATTGAATCGGTAAGCACAAAAGTCATGCTAATGATGGACAGAAATTTATTTTTTTCGTATGGCGTCAACAGAGTAACGATATAGTCGATTGCAGAAAAAAGTGTGAACCAAATGTTCTCTCTTATTTAAACTGTAATAATTAATAAAGACATAATCTCGAGATAGAATCACTATGAAATAATTCGCCGTTTCAACTTTCTACGCATATATTTGCGTTAAAAGCATTGAAATCTTGTTTCACTGAAATCATGAACTGAACAACGTAAGGCCACCATTCAAAATCTGAATTGCCATTTCTCCCCAGTATGCGACTCCTCAACAGTCCACTTTATGTGTACTGCTTTCACGATTTCAATGATGGTCTAACATTGATCAGTTCATGATTTTAATGAAATTCAGAAATCTCTACAACCCTATACTAACATCTAAATCATGTGGTACACGTCATTTTAAAGACGTGTATATGTGGTCATAGACAAGTAAATTTCTATCACTATTTTATCACATCAACTGGTTTATCACTTTCTCAGTTATTTCATAGCAACATTCTGTTAATGTTTGAAATCGGATAACTTTTAATATTTATCTATGTACTCATGTTTGAGTAGAGTAAAAATGATCATTTTGATGTTTAGAAAATGCCAATTAGAGAGAATTAATTCTTTATCTTTATATTTAAATTTTTGTCTGATCAGTTCCCATAACAAATTTAAATGAAGCAAGAACTAAATGAAATGGATGATTTCATGAATTCATCATTGCATTTTACTGCTTCCTCTTCCTCTGTATGAATGAACTAGTTTGGTGGTCTTCAATTATTGACATAAATTGAGATGTGAAAAAATGAATTGCTCTGAGGTAAAAAATGGGCCGAATCGAACATAAGATTACTGACTCATAAGAAGTCTTAATTGGTGTATTAATAGATTGTTTTACTATTTATTGCCTTGTGAATGTAAAGTGATAAATAACTTTCAGCAAAAGCATGAAAATTTAGCGCATACAATTACAATGAAAATCATGTCAAACGTAAGTATTAAGCTCGAGCTGTTCAACTAAATCCATTTCTCGATTTACCAGTATAATTCTTATCTAGATCTCATAATTTCACACAATACACTTTCGATCACTGAAAGTAAGTGTGTACATTTATGGAACGCTGGTCTAGTTACAGTAGCACATAAAGCAATTAATGAACAACGTAGGATTTAATCGGTTCGAACTAACCTACGTTCAGATGTCAAATTTAAAGAGAACGAGGTTGATAACCACACATCTGGATCAACTTGTTGTACAATTACTTTTGTAATATTAAGAGCTGCAATACCATTCACAATTCTGTTGATCCAGTATGTATAGAATGAACAACGTCTTTCAATCGGACACATACTCAACATAAATTGAAACGGTCCTCCAGTACACATTTGTTTATATCCATCCATGGTACTTGGATAATTTAATGTCCAAGTATTTGTAAGAGTTGTAGTAAATGCCTATGTTTAAAAAATATCAAGACTGAAATTACCACGTTGTATGAAAAGAGTTACACAATTAGCAAGAAAATGTTTTATAATCCCGAATTTAAAAATTGCTTGGCAAAATCACAAATTAATATAGATTTTCCTCACTCATACAATTATGTACTGTACTTATTCAATAATATGTTTCTCATCTTAGTATCTGAAAAAGAAAAACTACATGCACAACATGTTTAATTTCAACACAAACATAGGATTAATGTATTCATAGATGTATATTCAACTGATATTTTAAGTCAACATAAACGTGAATGTCAATTACATACAATTAATTAAATTCATAAACCGATCGATGGTAGATCACAATTGTAAACCTGTGAGCACTGTACAGCCATTTGTCCTAGTTTGGGACTCCTCAACAGTGCGTATCCACGATCCTGCACGTGGGATTAATGTATAACTTCAACCAATACATGATTTTGCGTGACCATCTTCCATTGTATTCTGTGAGTAACTGTCTCACACTCGACATGATTATACATTAACATTGTTGGATACACGCTCGGTGGTGTAGAGGATGAGCGTTCTCACGCGAGACAGAAGGTTCTGTGTTCGGGTCCTGCGTGCGAGATCGTGGATACGCACTGCTGAATTCAGTACTAGGACGGAACAGTTGTCCAGTGCTTTCAGTTTTTCACTTGTGGTCTAACATCAATCGCTTGATAATCTCAATAAAAACTCAACAATCTCCACGACTTTATACTAATAATAACAAATAGTTAGGAAATAGTGTCATGTTTTTTTAGTAAATAAATCCTAATTAAAACCATCTTTCAAACCAATGAAAATTATATGAAATTTTGGTTACAATCTCATAAATTAACTTATGTTAATATGTCATTTTTCAATGTTATTTTTTGTCAAGTCTATCCTCTAAAACCTGGAAATTGTTTTCACATCTTTCTTCAGATGAGAAAAACTCAATGACATTTTTTAGAAACTGTTAACATCATCTACATAAATGGAATATAAGAGGAGATACAAAGTGTTTTTTTAACGAATGTCATCAGGTGTCAATTATACTTTATTAGTGGTTTCAAATGTATTACCAATTAATTGTTTGCGATAACATTTTACTTTCATGAACATATACTTTACAACTACGGAATGGCTAATCCTTGTGATCCCACTATTTTCACGTCATATAGATCAAAACTAAAGTTCACTAAGTAGACAGTGTACAGTTTCATATCAATAATGGGTTTAAGTAAAGTGACCCAATTTAAGTCAGCCACTTTTATAGAGAAAATAGAGCTTAACTTTTCTCCCAATTTCTTGCTCTGATGTCGTTTTCTTTCGTCGACCATGTTCGTAGAACGACATACGACTGGAGTGGATTATTGTTCATGTGAAGGTCGATACATGTTAACTACTGAAGCTAGACGTCTTCATGAGTAACTCGTCCTGTTACAAATTAGTTCATTCGTTAAAAAACTAGATGAAACCACTTGATTAAGGACTGATCGCGTACAGTTTGGAGAACAATCTCAGGTTTCCGGAATTAACAAATTCAGTTAACATGTAAGACGTTTCACACTTCTGACATATCGTTACAATTTATTAACGTTACTTCATTTAGCATCGTTCGTTGAATCTTGCCATCAATGTTTAGGACTGCAATTGATCACTCTCTTGTTGACATATGTGTATCCTCTACGGATTGTATCTGCAGATACATCCAGCTGACGAGTCCCAAACAGAACGGAACGGGCTTCCTGGATTCCACTGCTAGCCACCATCCATCTTTGTTTATTAACATTACTATTAAAAATATGTGACATAATTATACACAATTTATGAACTATAAATTTATTCTAGGAACAATTCACAGAGTTGTTATGGCTATGACTTAATACATCTATTTTTAGTTCAACAAATTGGTCATAGGAGGCACAATATTTCCACACAAGCATATACACAAGGCTACATCGATCTCACCGGACCACACTACACAGAACCAGATAGATCATATTTGCATCAACAAAAAATTCCGAAGGACAATGGAAGATGTGAGAACCAGGAGCGGTGCTCACGTAGCTTCAGATCACCACCTAGTTGTAGCCAATTTAAAACTGAAGCTAAAAAAGAACTGGACAAGTGGACAAACAGCACTACAAAGGTTGAATACATCCATCCTTCCAGATACTGACAGACTCAATGAATTCAAGATAGCTCTCAACAACAGCTTCCAAGACTTACAAGATCTACTGAATAAAGAAGAAACTACTATGGAGGACAGCTGGAAAGGCATCAAGGAAGCATTAACTTCAACGTGTCAAGAGGTTCTGGGTCTAAAGAAATACCATCATAAGGAATGGATCTCTACAGAAACACTGGACAAGATCAAAGAAAGGAAGAACAAGAAGGCAGCACTAAACAACAGCCGAACACGAGCAGAGAAAGTCCAAGCACAAGCTGAATACATAGAAGCAAACAAGCAGGTGAAGAGGAGCATTAGAGCCGACAAGAAGAAATATGTGGAAGAACAAGCAACGACGGCGGGAAAAGCTTCTAGAGAAGGAAATATGAAACAGCTTTACGATACAACGAAGAAACTAACAGGGAAATACAGTAAACCAGAGAGGCCGGTCAAAGACAAAGAAGGCAAGTCAATCACTGAAATTCAACAACAGCGGAACAGATGGGTACAATACTTCGAGGAACTCCTGAGTAGGCCGGCTCCAATGAATCCACCGGACATCGAAGCAGCACACACAGACCTTCCCATAGACGTCAACCCACCAACGACGGAAGAAATCAGAATGGCCGTCAGACAAATCAAGAACGGGAAAGCAGCGGGACCCGACAACATACCAGCTGAAGCACTGAAGTCAGACATCGAAGTAACTACAAACATGCTTTACCTTCTATTCAAAAGGATTTGGGAGGAGGAACAAGTGCCGATGGACTGGAAAGAAGGGCACCTCGTCAAGATTCAAAAGAAAGGAGACCTGAGCAAACGTGAAAACTACAGAGGCATTACACTACTGTCAATACCAGGGAAAGTCTTCAACAGAGTGTTGCTGAACCGTATGAAAGATGCAGTAGACGCCCAACTTCGAGATCAACAAGCTGGATTCCGTAAGGATCGGTCGTGCACAGACCAAATTGCAACACTACGTATCATCGTCGAACAATCAGTTGAGTGGAACTCATCACTATACATCAACTTCGTTGATTATGAAAAGGCATTCGACAGTGTAGATAGGAGGACATTATGGAAACTTCTTCGACACTACGGAGTTCCTGAGAAGATTGTCAACGTTATCCGGAACTCATACGACGGGCTACAGTGCAAAGTAGTGCATAGAGGACAGCTGACAGATGCATTCCAAGTAAGGACCGAGGTCAGACAAGGCTGTTTACTCTCTCCCTTCCTCTTTCTTCTGGTGGTCGACTGGATTATGAAGACCTCGACATCTGAGGGAAAACACGGAGTACAATGAACAGCTCAGAATCAATTAGACGATTTGGACTTCGCAGATGACCTAGCCCTCCTATCACGTACACACGAGCAGATGCAGATAAAGACAGCCAGTGTAACAGCAGTCTCTGCATCAGTAGGCCTCAGTATACACAAAGGGATAACCAAGGTCCTCAAATTCAAAGCGGAAAACAGCAATCTAATCACTCTTGATGGCGAAACTCTGGAAGATGTAGAGTCCTTCACATACCGAGGAAGCATTATCGATGAACAAGGAGGTTCAGATGCAGACGTAAAGGCGAGGATCGGCAAAGCAAGGACAGCATTCCTACAATTGAAGAAGATATGGAAATCAAAACAACTTTCAACCAATATCAAAGTCAGAATCTTCAACATCAACGTCAAGGCAGTTCTACTGTGTGGAGCTGAAACTTGGAGAACTACAACAACCACAATCAAGAAAGTACAAGTATTTATAAATAGCTGCCTACGCAAGATACTCAACATCCATCGGCCGGATACCATCAGCAATAGCCTTCTGTGGGAGAAAAGAAACCAACTTCCAGCTGAAGAAGAAATTAGGAAAAGACGATGTAAAAGGATGAATTACAACTGGACGGAGCTAGAAAGGATTACCCAGGACAGGGTTGGATGGAGAACGATGGTGAGCGGCCTATGTTCCTTCACGAGGAGTAACGGGCGTAAGTAAGTAAGTAATGAGACGAACCATCTAGAACCTGTGTATTTATGAGTTAACATTCGAGATGAGTTATTACTGAAGTCTTCTTTGTGAAACTAAGGAGAACAAAATTACGGCATTGTACGCATGATGTGATGTGATGATGATGATAATTTCATGTTTCATTACCAGATAAAATCATAGAAATATTCTATTGAAATGTTAAAGTAGAGCTCAATTTAATATGGAAGCGACAACTGAGAATGTAAGAAAATGATTTAGCGTAATATCGGCGTATTCTGCTCAAATTATTGATAAACCTGTTAAACTTGTCACAATGTTGTCATGGAAAATAATGATTGTCTTCTGACGGATGGTTTATGTTTTATTCTCATATATGTTATTACCTTGAACTAATTAGACTTATTACCTTGCATTTAGCTGAGATGAAAAACGAAATACAATTCATATTATATTCTGACAGTTGTAAATTGAAGCGAACGAACAGCAGAAAAACTTAATAACCGAATTGTCGGCCATTTGAGAAGATCCTCTAGTGTGAATAACGATTTTACACCAGAACTCGGTACTGATTGTGTTTGACGAACTATCAACATCTAATTACAACCACAGATAAGTGATATTCTCAAATCTGTCTTTTCATAAAACACCTCAATAAAACTACAATATACATCTATAATACGGATAAAAGTTTTATCGAAACTACGTAACCTAAATATCAGGGTTTTTCTTAAAAAAACACTAACCATTGATATTGTATACGGATTCCATTAAATAATGTAAATAAGTCAAGTAACAAAATTATCTTAATGTAATTTGAAGCAAAATGAATGAAAATGAGTACTCTGACTTACTGCTGGAGTGGTGGTAGTAAATATGAAATTACCAAATATAGAGATTGAATTGACTGTCAATTGTAAGTGAAATTGACCAGTGGTCTGACAGAATTTGCAGTGAACATGGGATATAGTAAGTCAACTGATTTGCTGCTGAAGTCGTTTGATCGGTTGCAATTCCTGTAAACGTAAAATGTAAATTGACAATCTAATTTCCTAATGAGGCGAATTTGAATGCTTGAATTTTGACAACTATCAATTTATTGTATCCACGTACATCTACACAAGAAAACGTAGTTCTTATGGAATCGACGAACGAAAATTTCATACGAAATGGATATTAATACACTCGACCTACTACAAACATAACTTTCTTGAAGATTTTTCAATCAGCTGAAGGAATATTTGTTTGAAAGTGTTCAGATTATTTGATTGTAAAATCAAATATATTGATATTTTAGATGATCAATTAGTAATGTTTAGGTATATTAGAATACTGCACTAGGTTGTAACACATCCACTATGTTTCAAGAACGTTCGATAAACGAAGGATTTCCTCGTCAACTAATCTACTTTCAACTATGCACCAGCACGTATGCATGCAAAATTATCAATCTAAAAACAATTAGTACCTGAAGTTGGGTTTTACATTTAGGTTTTAAAGTTGGTATACAGTAAAGATATGCAGAATTTATCAAAACGTATATGGAAGTAAAGTATCATGATTGCCAGAACAGACTATAATAATAAGTAAAATAACATGAGGAAATAAAAAGGTTTGTGCAAGCGCTATGTAATAAAATAACACTGAGTTGAAAATAACGAAGATGGTTATCATCTACGAAGTTAGCCGGACGATCTCAAACAAGTACTTAATTACTTACTTACCAACTCCTGTTACTTCTAGTGTTGGAGCATAGCCCACCCACAAGTATCTTACGTAGACAATTGTTTATAAATTCTTCTAGTAGTTTTCCGAGTTTCAGCTTCGTACAACTGAACATACTGTCTTGACCTTCACATCGAAGATTGTGTCTTTGATATTGGTTGAGAGTTGTTTTAAGTTCTACATGTTCTTCGATTGTAGGAATGTTATCCTTACTTTGCCAATCCTCGCCTTTACGTCTGCATCCGATCCTCCATGTTCATCGATGATGCTTCCCAGGTACGTGAGAGAGTAAGCAGCCTTGTCTTACTCCGTTCCTCAATTGTGATGCATCTGCCAGCTGTCCTCCATGCACCACTTTGCACTGTAGTCCATTGAATGAATTCCGTATGATATTGACGATCTTTTCAGGGACACCATAGTGTCGGAGAAGTTTACATAAAGTCCTCCTATCCACAATGTCGAACACTTTCTCATAGTCAAGGAAGTAGATATACAGTGACGAGTTCCATTTAATTGATTGCTCAACGATGATCCGTAGTGTTGCGATTTTGTTTGTGCACGACCGATCCTTACGAAATCCAGTCTATGGATCTCGAAGTTGGACATCTACTGGATCCTTCATTCGATCCAGCAACACTCTGCCGAATACTTTTCCTGGTACTGACAGTAGTGTGGTTTCTCTGTAGTTCTCACATTTGATCAGATCTCCTTTCTTTGATACCTTAATGAGTTGTTCTTCTTTCCAGTATGTCAATGGCACCTGTTCCTCCTCCAAAACCGTCCTGAATAGAATGTGGCACATGTTTGTAGTAACTTCTATGTCTATAGGAAGGCTTGTGTGTGCTATTTCAATATCCGGTGGATTCAGTGGAGTTGGCTTACTCAAAAGTTTCTCAAAGTGTTCTATTCATCTGTTCCTCCGTTCTTAAATCTAGATGATTGTCTTGCTACTCTTGAAACTGTTCTTTATCTTCCTCATTGCTATCACTGGTGAATGTATGACACTGGGTAATATTCATTGTGATTTCATCCTTCTTGTATTGGAGGATGCTTTGATGATTTTGGATCCATGAGGTTCCCATCCTATAATTTCACTTCATGCGTCACTGAACAGCATCAATGCAGCTCCCTGAGTGGGAAGAGAAGTTTCCTCTTCGTTAACAGAGGATAGCAACATATCACTCGTATTTATCTTTTTCTGTCCAAAATGAATGCAGTGGGCTTCACTGATTTCGAGCACCGTCAAGTTGTATTTCTCCATTTCTACAGCTGTTTGAATAGTCTTCTCGGTCTCCCACATTGTTCGGACGATCCATGTACATATAAAAATTGTTGCTGTGGTTGTTAGAATGAGTATCGGTCTCATGACTCCCGAAGAATCTCGGCCTTCACCACTAGGCTTCATAGTTCTTCTGAATGAAGATACTTCAACTCGGAGAGCAGTTATATTGCTTTAATTTGTCTATTCTGATTAGCGTTTGTTTTCACAAGGTTTTTTTCTGCGGGATTAGGTTGCAGACAATGATTAGTCAATACAGCTATTGTTACAAATAAAACAGAAGTGGTATGACGTTTCTCAAGAACGTTCACTTTAAGTACTGACTAGAACTGAATCTATTATATCAGTCTTATGACTAATCATCATTATTTCAAATAAACTATTGCTATATTAAACCAGACAATAAATCTTTTAAGATTACTTAAAGTAGGCTAGTATAATTAATTTTCAGTTGTAATAATTCAAACTAATCTCGACACAGAAATGTCAGTGGGAATATCAATTAATTCTTTCTGGATAAATTTCAAACTAGCAGAGCGTTGTAAACTGCAAGCTTAGTACTACCGTGTTCAAAAATTCACAGTTTGATTAATAGACTGTGACAAAATTATTTTCTGAGTTCCACAGATATTGATAGTTTTTGGAACTTAGATGAATTTTGTTCGCTTTGGAACAATAAATTTAAGGAATGGTAGACTCGATCGCAGACACTAATCACAATTAAAAATACGGTCAAATGATCAACAATGGAGATGTTTTTTCACGGAAATATCTATATAAGTGTTTCAACGAAAAGAGTAGACATAGGAAATTATCTTGATTTACTGGCGAACCGTCACTAATTTTATCAGGAACGGATTCAATGCTTATGGTTTAAATGAAACGGTGAGCTGAATAGGTTAACACTCAAGGAAGCAATCTACATCGATTGTTTTGATGAAATCATAGCGAGATTAAGGGGGATTAATATGACAGTGAAACCACGTAGATAAGTGTGCATATGTAGTAAGAACAGAAAAAGCATACATTATTGAATAAGTAATAAAACCCTATTAACTGACGAGAAATCAGCTTGAAGACTGCCGTGACATTATTCGGTAGCCTTATTAAATACAGAGAAGAGGATTCATCTATAAACTCGTTCGCTATTGAGAGATAGTGTATTAGTAATCATATCAATACCGACTACTATAAGTAAAACAGTGCAGTAAATGTTAACAAACCTTCGTAATAAGCTTTATCTATACTGATATAAACCATATTTTCCAAAGAGTTCGAAACTGAGCTGACATATGGCAATGATGTTGATTGGCTTAGCATTATTGGCTTGACTAATATGTATTCTTGGTAGGCACCTGGAGCATAAAGTTGAAAATATATCGACTGCCATACATTGGGTTTCAGAGTTAGCGTTAACTTCAGTGATGTTAAATAGTTCGGTATAACTTGATTTTTGACTGTTTTTGAATCAATAGAAATTAGATCAACTCCTGGAACCTGACTTGATGACTTAAAAAATAAACAAATGCACATTGCTTTAATACACTGTAAAATGTGAATGTGTTATGAACTAAACACTTACAACTTACCCCTATAATCACGAATTAATAAACTCGACAAAAAAATTACAATGCTCTTCAGCGATTTTATTCAAGTTGAATTTTAGAATTTCCTGCTGCATCCATTCACCTGTCATGTAAGTCAATCAGAGAGTCAGGTTTGGTGTTCAAATCGAAAGTAAATCTTGATAGGACTAATCTACGAGGTGATTTAATGAAGAATATTATAAATTAATGAATTTTCACTAATAGTTTAGAAGCATAGTGTGTATCATAGATGCTAGCTATCTTATATTCAATATTACTCTGCTTTTGCTGGCTACTAAATCATCATACATGAAAGTCGTCTTCAAATTGATCAAATTTTACAACACAACGAAGTGAACAACCTGTTGTACATCACTTCAACCTGTGTATGTATGTCACGTTGCAAAAATCATACTTGTTCTAACCAGTTACCAATATTTTTCTGAATCTAAATCACAGCCAGTATTTTATGGTAGGGTTAACAAACTGAAGTAGAGTATAAAGTAAAATTCAATGTAAAAAATATTGTTTGAAGTCATACCAACACAGTAGAGTAGTTATCTAGTGGAGTAATAGTTAATGTTTTCGTAAAGTTGGATACACCAGAGGTAAATGTTGATGTGATCACTAAAGGCTTCGTGGTAATTGGAATTATCGAATAACGCATTGCAATATCACACTGAGCATCTGTACATGATTCATTGAAGTACACCGAATTTATTTGCAATCTAGCCAAATTACTTTGGTAATCGAGAAAAGAAAAGTGAAAGAAGAGGAAGAAAGACTTGTTGATATTTATTAGAATTACAGATATACTGTAGTGCATCTTCTGATTTAAAATTCATAGAAGGGATCATTACCGATGAAGCCCAACTTCAAACTAAGATATGAATAAATTAATGATTTCAAATTATCATAGTTAATTACTATAAAGCAAAATTAATGAGAGGCGTTCGGTGGTATCAATAAAACTTCCAATGGTGTGAATGTTTTTCCCCCGTTAATTGATTTAAAAATAGTCCAGTTTGAAATCATTTTTATAATGGTTATTAGGGATGAGTTGTTGTTTCACTGAAATATTTTGATAATCACAGTAAGTTAGTGAGTAGAAAGTTCATAATTTCACCACATTCATGAGTGTTCTGCCGAGTGTGAACAACAAATATATCAGTGGTTATTGAAGCTGGTTAGGTTCAATTTTCATTTTATTCATGGTTTATCGAAATGATAATAATAATAGGATTATAAGCAAAGATGAATAGTGGCTAGCAGTGGAATCCATGACGTGCGTTTCGTCCAATCTCGGACTCGCCAGCTGAATTTACCTTCATCTTAGATGTGATGTTCACTTTGAGACTCGAACCGATTGTCATTCGTTTCAAACGCCATCACGCTATCCACTTAGCTACTGAGTCCTCAATAGAGTGAAACGCGTGTCCCGGATACCACTGCTGGCCACTATCCATCTATGCTTAGCATGCTTATGAATTATGGCAATAGCAAGACAATACGCACAGTGTGCACACATGTCATTAAGAGACTGACCAACTGCAATCCCACACATCAATGGGAAGATTCAAGGAAACAATACCAAGTGAATAATAGGAAGCTTTAATAAAAATCATATAGTATGTGCCAAGTTCATTTTGTCTTTACTCAACTAACTTTTGAGAAACATTTGGTATACAATCGGCTACGCATATTGTTAAGGATTGTGATAAGGCACATTATGTAATAATAAAAATAATAATGTTGATACATCAAACGGGTCTCATCAACAGTGATTCAGTTATGTTCAGTCTTTTCAACGTATATAAAGGATAACGGTCAGCATCATGGGTACTACAACATTTATATATATAAATGAAAATTGAATATTAACTCGTTATAGATTACCTACATTTAGGTCCCTACTACAGTGACTGGTGATTGAATGTATGTGGCAATGTAGAACCCTTACACGTGTTGAATTTTTAACGAAAGTTTGGATTAACAAAAGGATATGAATGTACAATTTCTATATACTGAGAATTAAAATATCTTCTCAAATATCTAAATCTTGTCTATATGAAATAATGTAGAAATCAATTTCAACTTCACTATAATCTAACACTCAGTGGATATTTCTGAAATGATAACTCATTAAAGTATAATGCATTTCTTTGCACAGAAATCTACTGATATGTGAAATGTAATTTGGAAAACTGATAAAACAAACTGACATAGAGTTCTGAATAATACATTCAGATTTATTGACGAATTATGCAAGACAGTCTTTGAGAATAATCTCCAAATGTTAAAAGTTTGGTAGATATTGTGTAATTTAACAAGGAATTCTGGTTTGAAAATAGTGAATGATAGGTATTCGTAAATAGTTTAGGCAATGCTTGATGTTGCGGAATTGATCCATATCCGTATACTTGATTTTTTGTATTATTATTCATGAGTATATATATAATGAATAATATATTCATATTTACATATACATAAGAATACGGTTGATAATCAAGCTTACGGTTTAACAGAAAAATCATAGCCCACAAGTGCTACAGCTTTTAATAGATATCCAATTGTTTGAATACTCTGTCTGATTATAATTGCTTCATTTGAATCTACTTGTAGTTGAAAAGTTATCGGCATGTAGACAAAGTCTTTAACGAATTTCACTCGAACTTCTACAATTGTACTAAAGTTTACTGTTGGTTGTGAATTTCGTGGTTCGACTTTTTCAATAGTAACTACAGGAGTTTTAGAGACCTAATTTCAAATAGTGTTTGCAAATGATAACAAATAACAGGTTATTGAATGCAAAATCGAGAGATTGATTACAATTTAGGTTTACATTTACATGTAGTTTACATTTGGGTTATAAGCATTCATCTGAAATGATTTACAAGGAATAATAAATGTTAGGCAAACAGCATGACTGATTAATTTAGATCTGATTTAAACGAGAAGTATTTGGGTAAGTAGGACATCCAGATTTGGTTGAAAATTACCAGGAGCTAACGTGGTGTAGTACTATATTTCATACTGCATTTTTAAAGCTGTGCAATTTAAAGTGCTCCATGCTAAAACATTGATATTTTTGTATTTCAGTTGCTAACGTCTGTAACCACTAATTGCTTCGGTATAAATCAACAATCACTAAGTCAAATATCGTAAAATAAACGGCCGTACCTTTTAATGCTAAACGAGAGATCTTGACTAAATCTGTACCCCTTTTAATTGGGTCCAAAATTTATTTCAGTGGAGCACATTAGTTCACCCTCAGTCAATTCAGTGACAGATGGATGGTGACTCAAAATTAGACTATGATACAAAAACTCAACGTGTATAGGAAAATGGTGGTTGATGTGATCTGGGATTCGATACCAAAATCAGTATACCTACAGAACAAAAGTGTTTCGACTTAATTTGTAGGAGTTTGGATTATTCGGCTGTAGATTGTCTGATTGAATTCTGACTAGTCATATTTGATGCATGTGCATCCAATGCAGATCACTTTCACATTGTTGAGACAGCTTCCGAAAACTACAACTGAGCCTCCAGAGGCCCTAGAGAAGCCGAAGAGTTCCATCTAATCAGAACGTGATGGGGATTTCTAGAATATCCAAGTGACGTGCTACTATTGACCTGTGGCATAACATGTTTATTCGCGGACTGGTTGAATTATAATGTTGATATAACAAGAGCTAAATACCCATGATTTTCTGTACAATTTGATTCTTGCCCATCAAGCACTTTCTCAAGTCTTCTTCTTCTTTCTTCTTATTTGAGACTTGGAGGGTTCTAGCGTTCGATTGCTCAAGTTGTACGCGGTCTATTAAGAATCTAAACTAGATATAAAACTGAACATTGTCCAAATATAGCGCTATAAGATGTGACTAGTGAATGTCAGACGTTGATGAACCTAAAACATGACATATCTATGGTTCAAAGCAGTGGCTGGCCACCATACGTACAGGTAATAAATGGTCTGAAAGATTCTTTTGTACGCACACAAGACAGTTCTAACAAACAACCTCCATCGTAGCTCTAGTTATACGGTGAGTGTTACTACAAGAATTTTTTCCCACATAAAAACTATCGTTGTACTGAATGTCATCGTAAGTGTCATAAAGAATCCAGCTGCAAAAAAAGAACCCACCGTCGTTCTTCAAAAACATATTTCAAAAAATGCAGATCTGGTGCAATAACTCACAAAATATTGATATCTCAGACCAGAGCACGAATTTAACGCCGAAGAAAGTATATAACTTTGGTTATTACTGAACAACGCACTCGCCTTCGACTCGATACAGCATCTGATATCACTCTCATCAGCCAACAACACAACTAACACACAGTGCATCTGGTGGGAAGTTGAATATTTTTGGAGAAGTACTGTGCACTTTTTCTCAAGGTAATATGACAACGAATGTAACAGTATACCTTACAAAGAATCCAGCACTTGACTTGTTTGGATTAGATATGATAAACACTAAAACTATCAGAGAATTCGATTAACAACATCTGCGGCCGAATCAGAACTGATAACCCCTTAGAGTGGAAGGAGAAAAATGCTGTGCTACAAGGACACCACCACGTGTTTATAGAAGGATTAGGAGAATGTACGAAAGTCAAAGCAATACTAACCCTCAAAAATGTTGTTTTGATGAATTATTAAATGAAAACATAAATCAAGCTTACAGGAGTAGTGGGTATGGGTTGCTCCATAGACGTTACTGGAAGATTTACAACAAAACCACGTACAGTTACTGTTCCAGAAAGCATCTCAACGTACGTTTGCATTGTATCACCCAAGACGTAGGTGGTATCATACCATAATTTCACTCCGATTTGGAAATTATAAAAAACATTCCATGGGTTATTGTTTCTAAATATACCAATTGTCGTTGTGCTTGCTATTCTTCGCCCTTGAAATACAGTGTATTCTGTTATTAGCCTGATCTGTAATGTTAGTTGAACAATCAAATTGAAATACGATATCAAAACATTTATTAATGTCGGATTACTCGATAGTGATGTGATAGTTCTTTGTTTATGAATATCAGTGGAATCAATAGGATACCGTTTAACATCACTGAGTAAGAAAAATCTATACTTTATGCCCAACTTCGAGAGAAATATTATTGCTCAACTTCCAGCAATCAAACTAGTAAGAAGTAATAAACACAAAACACTCTACACATATACGACATTTATTGTAATGACAAGATATTATACACTGTTCAGTCATGTGACATATAGGTTTTCGGGTCAAATCGATTATATGTACATAACCTAATGTAACTGATCCAGTGAAGATGGATACATGATTAAGTAAAGGATGGAATAAATCTATTGAAAACCCATTACTGTTTCGTATGATGAATACAGCACTCAATCAACAGCGTTCAACATCAGATAAATAGAGCCAATGACTATTGCAAGGATTTTGCTTTTGCATTCATTAAACATACCAGAGACAAAAAACAACAACATTCTTTTTGTTTAGTAAACTCCTCTTTAAAGTTTCCACCTCCCAGATTAAAGCAATGTTCATTCGTTGTTTTTATTAAACATTAAATGTTAAAATATGTACATCTAGGAATCATTGATCAAAGGAATGTCTAAATAATTTTAACTATTTAGAGTTTCCATAGATCAGTGAATACTGAATTAATAAACTGGTTGAAATGCATGTCAAACACAAGTCAAAATATTAAAAGTAGAAAGCTTTACAGTTAAGGGCTATACAAATGTATAAAAATGACATAACCGTAGTTTATGTTACATGCAACATGTAGCAACTACGTATGGAAATACAATTAGACACGCATTATCAGTGGAAACTCGTCCATAATTATAGAAAGCATAGTAAAATATGAAACTATGAATTTCTGACCTGTATATTATAGTCATCTCCCTATTCTTCTTTAACCCATTGATCATTACGCAAACTCCTTTTGATATTTGAAATCTCGGATCATTACATGAAACAATGAATTTTATTGGTAGTGAAGAAGTATTCCCATTTATCCAACAGACACAGAGCTGAATGTCTCACACCGAATTCACTGAAACATTAATTCTAATCTTAGTAAGAAGGCGTTCGAGAAAATCATACATGAAGCTCAACATCTGATTGAACTTCTAATAACAGTGCACAGAATGGAAATTATCCACTAGCCGTTATCTCATTGTAATGAAGGATCTATGATATCTATATGTAATTAGTGGATGTGTTAATCAGTAAATAATTAGGTATTCTCCAAATATGTTTCTGTGTAATAATGACATCACAATGACGAGATGAGCTTGTTCATTCAAATGATTTTGATTTTAGCAAGATCTTAGAAACGGACTAAATTGTTTGATGACATTCATTTATGTAATTAATTCATAAAACTATTAATTAGTTAAGGATAAGCAGAAATAATGAGCAATATCTGTCTAAGAAACTAAATTGTCAAGATAATTATAACTGTTATTCTGAATTAGGTTAATTATAATATGCGAGTCGACATTCAACTTTATCTGACTGTTGTAGTCAAATAATGGCAAGTCAGATAGATTGTGATCAGGGAAAATATAAATGAAATCCAAATGTCTAATTCAATATTTATGAGGAATTCTGTTGTTATTCCACTGAATCTACAAATAAATGGGAATTTGATTACATGTGTTTCTCCATTGCTATTGATCAGTTCATCAGTGGAGAAACGTAGATTTATTCCCAAATATGTTGTATGCACATATACTCATCAAACTCAGATATCAGAAACATTCCAGTGATAAACACCCAATCATAGATGGGCGCGGTTGCTAGCAAGTGTTACATGCAATCATAGAATGTGCAGATATATTAAATCATCACAAAATTACACATAGGTGTAGAAGTTTCCGTTCGCAATTTCACGTTACATGCACATATAGAACGCACAATCCGAGCACTATACACTCCATGGAAAATATTAATGTATATATATATTCAATCACCCCAGATCATAGCCTAGCAGTTTTTCCACTGAATGAATATCAAGTACTCAAATCAGTATTTTAATTAATCGTCGGATTTTTCTTCCTCTATCCAATATACTCCAACATAAAGTATGCTGTTTATGAAAGACTAGAACATATTACATTAGTCAATGACGCAATATGTAATATAAAACAAAAGTCTTTATCAAAAATCCAAACTCTCGGTATTTAGAAAAGTGTTAAACGTTCACTCATGCATTTTCATGAGAAGAAAATACGGATTATATTCTCAAATTTGTTCAGATATTTATCAGTTGAGCGAGGTCTTGTTAGATATTTGCAATGACAATGAAAACCATCTGATAGGCAGTTTGTAAATCAACCAAACTATGATAAAATGAATGGTAAATTAAGGGAAATAAGTTAATTTCTATTACTGATATTTACTTGAGACTGCATTAAGTAAATATTAGCAATTAGCGAGGATTTGTTGAACACAAAAAAATAACGATTAACATCAATGAATTCGTGATAAATATTAGACCTACATCCTAAGTGTTTTAGCATCTTAAAAGTTATATGCATACTAAATGCTCTATAATGAAACTCGTTATCTGAATAATAACTTCAAAATATGCATTGAGATACCATTGTTTAGCATATTGTAATATTATTGTTATTATGTAACACACTAATTGATTTCGGGTTCATACTATCGAGCTGTATATTGTAAGTACTCAGTGCAACGAAAATGCCAAACAATGAACTGAAGATCGAGTGGATTATGTTTTTATTCAGTATGAAAATGTAATAACAGGCATATTCGATCCAGACTTGTTCATTCAAGAAGAAATTGCTAAGCTGAGCAAACTGGGTTTCCAATTAAGTAGTTATTCTTCTGGTGAAGGTGAAAGGGATTGGAATAGTCATAAGATATGTTTCGAAGTGAACGACTTGATACTAAACATGTCTCATGAATTTATGCACAAAACGATAATTTCACGGGATGAAGAATTGTCAAGCAATCCTTTTGATGACCTCTGCATATATTGATATTTATCATATGAAAATCTCATCCAAGAATATGTTACAAAACATGATAGCTGACTTTACAAAACCAGCATTAGTCATTTTAGATCAAAGATGAAAAGTGAACTTGTTTGATCATGTGTAAGCTGAAAAGAATAAATAAACAACTGTAGGTCTGCTGGGCAGTTATTTCGATCCGAAAGGTTACTACTATTAGTGATATCTATGATTTCGGAACATCAGAACTACTGATATTTGTTTGTTTGTACTGAAGTTCGAATTTTCGCGGTTTTACACATCATATTTAATTGATCCATCTGGGTTGAGTCCTATTGATCAATTCACATATATGTCAAGATTGAAGAAAAGGATGATGATAGAGTGTCAATTAGAAGTAAAACCATTATTCACTATTGTCATTTGTTAACAGACTATAATTGTGGATATGTATTAATGCAGTCAATTGTGACTTTGTACCATTGGTTATGGTTCATAATTACTAAATGCAAAACTGTCTCTTGCATAATATTTTTTTGTTTTGATCTTGGCCATATTTGTATAAATTAAAGGACAGTATTGTAAAGTTAAGTATTGATTATCTGTACACCAGCTGTGATAAAGTGTTTCGGAAAATGGTTGGATTTTACTGTTCACGTAATGGATCGGTTTTACTTGAACAGCCACTCAGTAGTAGAAAGCATTAGGAAGATGCTTTGCAGTGGAATGGGACTTCTCAGCATATTATATCCATGGCTTGAATGTGGACCAACCCAGGGCATTGAGTTATCATAGCGAACGCTTAGCCTTTAGGTCACTGAGTTGTCATCCGACGGTTTACATGTCTAACATAATTTAAGTCGTGACAGTCCACAGACGCTATCCGATGCCGATGTTGGGTACCTGCCTTACAATCGACATTGTTAAAAAATATTTAGTGATAATTATGTCCCTAATTAACCAATCAAAGCGTTGCATAAACTCCCATCACAAAAAGTTGGTCTGGTCTGACTTAACAGATCAAGTTTAAAGCCAAGTTGTCCTTGTTCTGACCATAGATTTCATATTCACTGGTGTTTTCAGTATCGCGTTTACACTTCTAGCAGAATATCTGGCTTCCTATAATGTCCCTTGATGATGAGGAATAAACACTATGATAATCCATCAGTTTGGGGTTGGTATTTCTTCTCTCAATCCTTCCTACCTAGTTATGTTTCCTGTGAATTCTTCTAAACTGGTTTTATTATCAAGGTTTGACTTGATAGTTGAAAATAACCTGTGCATCAGCTGGGATGTTAGTAGTAAAGTGATAGTATATTGATCATATCCCAATCAGTAGAAAATCGAATTTCTCGCGTTTTGTGACTTTGTGTAAACTATTCTTCAGAGTAGACAAATAAAAAAGAATAAACGAATCAAATTTACACAGTTTTAGATCGCATAAAAGAACACGTCAAAAGATTTAGTTTATTATTTTATACGATTTTAATCTGTGTTAATTTGATTCGGTTATCTTTTTATTTATCTACTCTGAAGAAGTGGTTTACACAAAGTCCAAAAACGCGAGAAATGTGATTTTCCACTCGTTGGGATATCATCAATATATCGTTGTTTCATAATTTTAAGGTAATTATTTATCCTCAGGTTAGACGTCACTAACTTTAACTGTTTATTTGTTTCTTTCTGTGATGAGATGATAAACTGTATATATCAGTTTATTAGCAACTGTCTTAATTGTTTATCAAATATGTATTAACTTACGTTTCTAGATATTTCCACAATGTGTCAACCTTCCAAATATAACGATTTTTCTAGAATGACTCTGTTTCTTTAAATTAACTCGTAAACCGCCTTTAAGTGATCAATAGATTTTACCACCTTAGTGAAGTTGATGCCATCTGACATACCCTCAACATGTTCATCTTACTTATCTGACTTCGTAAGAAAATAATCATTTTAGTGGTCAGTTTCTAAAGTCATTAAGTTCCTTCAAATATAAGTTATGATTTTACTTTCTCATCTTTTCCCTAAACTTCACTCAGATGGTGCACGTTCTTCTGTATTTTGAACTGGATTATGTATGATGTAATCTATTTCTAGAATCCTGTCTCCGCCTTTTTATAAACATTCCCAGTTAAACTGTTGGCAAAAACTGTATGGATAATATTTTTACTTCTTTCAAAATAACTGTCTTCCCACTAGTGTACATCTACGTCGACCACGGCCATAAGAAATACGTCTCTTATAAAAAATTCGGGTACTTAACTTTTTCATAGAATTAATATAACGAGGGAAATATGTTGTTAACGTACTAGATGAATAAACTTTTCTATCCGTGTGTATACAATTTGTTATCCATTGTAATAACCAGCATACCAGTCTTTATACCTTCATGTGGATTGATGAAATAATAAGGAATAGATTGATTTTATTTGGTTAATCAGATAATTTGTAACTAAAGGATCTTGTGGGTCTCAACTGTTTGACATTTATACTTTTTCGAATCGATCATTGCTTCATAGGGTTAAAATGTTATTAATTACGAAACACAGAAATCCAAAGTTAGTAAAAAACTGAAGAGGTGTTTCAATAATAAACGAGTTTTGATTCTCCCTACCATTTACTTGTTTATTGACTTGAGTTATCTCAGTATAAAGTGATAATTAATATAAATGATTCAAATACAATCATACCGAAGTCAATGATCAAGCATCAGAAATTCTACTGTTATTCGTGCTTTGAAATTAATGAAACCGGTTTGTTAAAGTAAACACGTAAAGTTTGTCCTCCCTTATGAAAATCTTTTAAAAACCACAGAAACTGGAAACAATCATTATGATATTTTAAACTTACTTTCTTAGTTGAATTATTTTCTGTTAACAAGTAATCCACGGAACATTGTTCCGTCTTTAGTTTACCAGTATTAGCAAGATAAATACTATAAATTGCTGTCGTAGAAGGCAGGATACTCAGTTGAAGATTAAAGAATTGTAACTTTTCAGCTTGATTCACGACTGAGGTATCCTTTAATGTCAAGACATTATTCGCAACCTATTCGTTAAAAAGAAGGTTGGCATGGTTTGTACTGACAACTTACCAAATTAGAACCTGCAAATGCTATGAGTTGGCTCTCACAAAAATTCACTGTAGAATTCTTACCTAATGGTGAGATTTTTGCTTCAAACCTAACGGATACCAAACTTGGTTTATATATCTGGATAAAAACTGTTAGACGAACTGATCGATTCATCATTGGCAAAGTAGTGTCATAAACACCTAAAATATATTTTAAATTAAATATGAATATGTACATATGAATATAAAATAAGACTTGCTCGTCCCAATACCTCGGAAAAGAATTATCCAAAGTAATATGAAAACAAGACCATTTTGTGAAAGAATGCCTGTCGACGAGACTTATCAGAGTGAATCTCCAAAGTTCGGTAATGAAATATAATGAATAATAATAGTTTTGTTTTTTTGTTTTTTTTAACACGACAGTGATAACTTTATGAAAACTTCAGCTTGATGGGAGCTAAAAGATAGCCAATTAAGCGTAATTATATGCCTTATAGTTGTAAGAGCTCTAGTGGTGTTTAATGGTAGTGACCTTGGGTAAATTAAAGTTTTCATCTTCCAGTCTGACTGAGTTTAACCGCATCAAATTGTTAGGATAGACCATAAGCTACTACTTGCAGTTTTTGGGTCAAAGAAAGGTATACCTGTATACACGGCAAATAGACTGTGACGTTGGGGAACTACACTCTTGAGTTATGATTTCAAGATCAAGTACCAGCCCACTACTGATTTTGGACAAGCTGAAGCTTTACCTAGACTGATTGGCTCACAAGTAAACAGGAAGAAGACACTTTGGTGGCAGCAATCGACAGAAACAGAAGTAGATCGAGTATTGGAAGACGCAGTCGATGGTTTACCAGTTACTTTCAAGGCGATCGAAAAAGCCACGGAAAGTGACAAGACTTTAAGAGAAGTTAGTGGTTATCTTCTTCCCAAGTGGCCGAACCGTCGTCTTCAAGGAGAAATGCTACAATATTTTCGCCGACGGGACTCTCTTATGATGGTCGACTCATGTATTATGTTTGGTGACAGAATTATTGTTTCAAAAGTATTACGCTGCAAGGTTCTGAGACAATTCCACAGCGGTCATCCTGGTATCAATAAGATGAAAGTGTTGGCTCGAAGCTACGCATACTGGCCTACGATGGATCAAGATATAGAAACCAGATGCCGCAATTGTTCATCGTGCCTACAAGCAGCCAAACGTCCAAGCAAGTGTCAACCGCAACAATGGGAAAAGCCGAATAGTCCCTGGGAGAGGCTGCATGCAGATTTCGCCGGTCCAATACGAGGAAAAATGTATCTAGTCATAGTAGACGCACCCACAAAATAGCCACAAATCTACGCCATGGTGAATTGCACAGCCAGTGAAACAATCAGCAAATTATCCGAACTGTTTAGCTGCTTTGGAGTTCCGGAGACTTTAGTGACCGATAACGGCTCACAATTCACTGCCGAATCATTCCAGCACTTCTGCAACGTTAATGGGATTGTGCACAAACGATCTCCACCGTATCACCCTCAATCAAATGGCCAGGCAGAGCGTTTTGTGGACACATTCAAAAGAGCACTACTGAAAGGTGGAGGCGAAGGGTCGACAGGGCAGGTGATCACAAAATTTTTGACATCCTACAGATCCACCCCGAGCCCAAATGTTCCAGACGGCAATTCCATCGCGGAAACCATGTTCGGAAGGCGTATTCCAACCGTCTTTGATGCCATGTTGCCATCCAAATTAGTGGATGAGCGCAGTCACGATCCAAGTGTCCGGAACTTTAATGTTGGAGACAAAGTTTACATTAAATCCTACATCGGGAAGAACCGATGGGAGCCAGGAGAAGTAGCACAAAAACTGGGAAGAGTTCTGTACAGAGTTTGAGGAGCTTTTGGGACATGTATACGACACACAAATCAGTCCTTAAGGACAAAAGGACGGTGCAGACTCGAAGTAACCGGCCGAACTTTCCGTTAGATTTAATCTTAGATGCACCAATGCCAAAAATGCCCGGGAACACTGGAAAGAAGCCTTGGATAAGGAAAAAGACAAGAATAATGGGACGCCGTCGCAACCCAGTTGTCAAACTACAAGTAGATCCCAGAAAGAAATATTATTTGGGGGAGGTGTTGAGTCGGCTTCCGGAGAACTTCAACAGAGCCTCCAGAGGCCCAAAAGGAGCCGAAGAGTCCTAGCCAATTAGAGTATGATGGAACGTTCTGGAATTCCAGCGTGGCGTACTACTGTTGGTCGGTAGCATAATATGTCGTTAACGGATTGGCTGAAATATGATGTTGATTTAACAGACGCCAACATCTATAAATACACATGATTTTCTGTACAAAAATGAACCTTGGAGTAAAGTATTTTCTCTCATACTTGTGTCTTCTCTCTGGTGTTCAAGTCGCTGTGTAGTTCTAGCTTGCGGGTTATCAGGATAGCTTAGGAAAACGAATATAAATAAATAGATAAATACGCTACTATCAAAATCTGCAGTCACCCGTTACAACGATTGGCGACGGGGTAGAGAAACTTTTGAACCCTGTAACTGGACGAGATTCAGCATAATTATTCTGACCAATCAGCACTCAGATTGATCGTCGGTGTTCTTGGAAGTCATTAGTTGTTAATTGATCACAGTATTTCTCATTACCCTGCTGATTCAGAAAATGACTATCCTTCCCGATCAATTACAGCTACTACGTGATCGCCAACAGCAGCGTTTCAGAAAGAGCCAGTTGAATGTTTTGGACAATTTACGCACGCGACTGCTAAATCTCCCATGTTTCGGAGATGTGAAAGAAATTGATGAATTAATTTCTCACTTGCATACTGAACTCGAAAATGAATGCAGGACGTATGAATTTGCCAACAAAAGCCTCTATGAATCCCTGACGGGGAGTAATGCAAACGAGGCAGTCGCTCACGATCTGTCCAGCGATTCAGAAATGTCCAATTCAGAAGCATGCCCTGCCGTGGGTTCGAATCCCGCTGTGCCCGAAACATGTACAGACAGTGAGGTATCCAACTCACAAGAAAAACCCCTCGTGCCAGAAAATGTGTCCCATGGATCAAATAATGGTCAGAAATCTAATACAAATTTCAAAGATGCTGTTTATTTTAGTGATCTATTATCCACTGATGGAATTTTGAAGAGGTCTGATGAATATGTTTCACAAGAATCAAACCTTAATGACCTCATACCTAGTGTCGCTGATCTTCATCATCTAGTCAGTTCTAGTGGACCCACTACCAAATGCGGGAAATATGCTTTAAATAGAATCAGACTAACTGTTACTTGGGCATATGAGGACCCAACGTCATTTCGCGGGGGAGGACGGACGCAGAAAATTTTAAAATCCGGATATCAACTCCGGATCTTTCGAACAAAAAGGGGAGGTGTTAGGATAGTCGGAAAAATATACCAATAATTATCGTGTTAAATCTATGGTGTCCTTGGACTTTAAATGGACACTCCCTATTGGTCGATATTTGTTCACTCGTTAAATATTGTACAAATGTTGTTTTCTATTTTTATGGTACGATGTGGTCTTTTTGTTTGGTATATAAACAGAGTATGTTTGAAATATAACGATTCATATCTCAGAGGATGTGACTTGTGTTCCGGACTCAACTGGCTGGGTTAGACAGCGAAGCAGGGCCAAGCGGGACTCTAGGTCGTTCGTCCGTGCTTACGTGTCATTGATCCAATCGATAAAACGTTGCTCTATCTAAACTGCTAATCCACCCGTTACAACACAAATGTGAAGCAATTTCTTTATAAATGACCTTAAAAAACTGAACCGAATTTCCGGCCAGTTCTAAACTATTCAGAAAGCAGCTTTTAAAAATAAGCAGTTTATGAAAAAAACAACGTGACTACAATGTGAACGGATTCTAGGTAATTAATGAATATATTAATGTCTTCTACCCGTTGTTCCGCCTGTGAGTTGAAGAAACAAAGAGATATTACTGCAACTGTGTTGTTAGAGGTTATCCGTCTTCGCTAATCTTTAAAATGATCCAAAACCAGTTCTCACATTATTTTTCGTTAGGGATAGCATATTTAGGTTAATGGTTAGGGCTTTGGAGTTTTATTCACAAAATGACAAATTAAAACTCCTCTGTTGTCGTATGTGTGAGTGAATTTCAGTCAAAAATACTGGAGTAAATATCTAATCAGTTCATTCATAAAATATAGTCCCACTAGGTATAGGTTTGTTTAAGGATTAAATATTTAAAGTTAGGACATATGGATAATGCCGATTTGCCTGTTAAATACAATCAAAGGAGACAGAAGTAGAATTTTGATACACTTAACACTTACGATTTTAATCTATATCTGCAAAAACTGAATCTTTGCAGTCAATGTGAATGTTTTGAGCAGTGCACAAAAGTATTTTCACTGCTCGTCACACATAATATTTGGATTTCTGCACGAAATTCAATTCTGATTGACTTGTCCTTAAGGTATACTTTTACTGAAACCATTGCCGTAATTACATTTTGAATGGAGTTTTCCACATTGCTCTCTTTCCATTTTCCAATTGACTTTCATCGCTTCTAGTTAGCTAAATTTCTGTAGTCTTAAAGGTCACCTTTTTGTTTCTATATTACAGAGTTTAGTGAAATCATGACCTTGAACGACGTATACTAGTGCAATTCACGGAAACATCAACAAAGCATACTATGAATATATTAATTAATTTTTGTTCAGGAAATAAGTTGGATAAGAGATATTTGATTTCAGTAAACAGTTTAATGATAAGTGAAATATACAAAGTTTAAAAAATAACAACAAAATAAAAAGTATCTTCGTTGGTCTAAACAAGTTAGTAACTATTTGATAGTGGTTGAATTCGACTATTGATCACAACCTGGTCAAACTATACTATTTTTTTCCTATTAAACTTCACTATGACAATAGAAGATGCCTATAAACTAGCGAAATCACATATCAGGTATCTCACAGTATGAATAAATCTATAGTGATTCCATGATAAGCAGTGAGGAAGTACTATCGTGTGTTTTTAAGCAGAATGAATACAACACATTTTAGAAATTCTCTCAATAGAATACAAGTCTATTACAAAATAAAATAGTGTTACAAGTAGCAAGATTATTCAGAATTTAAATACAATCACACAAAAGTAAGTATATCTGAAAATTAAATGTATAACAAACTGCCAGCAGATATTAGTTGGTTATTAGCATTCTCCCTTCATTTGTAAACTGATATATAATGTAGGTATGAAGCTCAATTATCAGGTCTCGATTTCATTGAGATAACTGTGAAATCCGTATCATACAGGAGCTCATATTCTTCTTTCCATTAGTATTGTCTTCACTTGGAGATTCTTGTCAATAATCTGATCTCGTATTCAGCAAACACAGGGACTAAAGTAACAATACGTTTATCTCTCGATTTATTCACAATTCTAAAACCGTGTATTCTTAACGAGATGATTACCAGTGAAATATATCTTAAAGTCAATGATTTTTCGGAATACGACTTCTGGAAACAAATATCTTTATCCAACTTGGATAACAATGTATTCAGCCCCTACCATCTCCTTCATTCCTCTTAATCACTCCATCTTTATGCATATTCGATTGTTCACAACAGCTCTTGTCATTTCAGTTCAGTAATAAATATCTTTGGTACGAAGAAATTTGTCATACCATGACACTACAAGTGTCATATTGGGTAGCTTTTTGAAGTAAAACTGCCGAACACTTTCCAATTTATGACTGGGCAAGACAGAATAAACACTGAGCTTATTCAAATTCATCATCAACAGTTGAAAATGTTTCATTCACAGATTTGTCTATGCACAAACTTTGTCACCAACTATATGTGGTTGTTAAGAATTGATTAGTAACATCACTTTGACGAGGCCATCATACTGACCGGTAAAAAAGTTATTCATCGAAGAAATATTAACAGAGAAATAATTATCAAAAGTTCAGGTGAGCCCAAAATGATAATTAATGGAAGATATCTATAATGCATAACACCAAAACGAAAGAAGCAGAATAAGTGCCTTAAATCATATCATCCACTGCCCTAATGACATGCAATATGAAAATTCGGTACTTGTGTAAATAAGTATCAGAAAATGGAAAGGCACTTGTTATTGTTTCGTCAAGTGTATACTTAATTTCATAAACATACGCACAGAAAAAGATGTAATATTTGGAAAATACAATATTTATGAGTAACACGTTTCGATCATCGTGGTTAGTTGTGAAACATCAGGAACTTAGTGTTATAAGACACAGCTAGACTGAACAAAACTGTTAATATATGATACAGTTAACAATATACATGGTTTATAATAAAACAGAGTGTTTAACGTTAGAAATCATTGTACGGTGAACTTACCTGGATTTTGTAGATTTGAAACGCTAACGTAGCCAATGGTAGTCAGTGCGAAGTTACCACCAACGAATTGTTGCGTATCTATTTTGTAACCTTCTGGGTATGTAGAGAATGTTGTAGGTAGCGTCAAAGATATATGTCCAATCGAAGCACTAAACTCATCAGTAGTGAATGTGAACTATCAAACAATTTATTAGGAAAAAACAGTAAGTATTTTTCTGTACATGTCTTTGAGGAAATAAATACATTCACTTTTGTATTGGGTGAACATTCAGAAGTAAAGTGTTTATATTCAGATACATCTACTGAATGTCCTACAACACTATGATGCACTCTAGTAGTTTTGTCTGAACATGGATGATCACAGATGTTGTAGAAGTTCTCTTGTTATCATATCGGATAATTACCTTGTTCGCATTGTATTGGTTTGTTAAAAATTAGCTACACTTTATTTTTTAAAGTAATTAATAGTCTGTGAAACACTGATCTGATATATTTAACAAAATTTGTGCTATGAAATCGAATACTATTCAGTAGGTCAAATACTTAGGAAAATTATGGTTGATATGACCATTGTATTATGACCATTGATATTAAAGAGAAATGGTGATAGCATTTCAGCTAAAACAACACACTGCCAATACTAAAATGTGTCCCTATAACAATGAGATTATAATCATCAGGATAATAAGTCTAGCAACTTCAAATCGATGTATTTGGTCGATTATTCAAAAATACATATTTCTTTAAAAATACCAACGTACTTCAAGTATTTAAATGTTATATAATCTATGATTTTGATTTATGGCTGTACGATGTGAGATGATAAACCTCAATAGAGTTTTATTTCATTCACCTGTCCTTCTTTTAAACAGATCTTGTTTTTTCAAAAGAGTGGTCGATTATTCTTATATTTCTTCTAATGACTTAAAGGTTTACAAATGTATTCCAATATCATATCAGAATTTATCGGAATTTAACGAAAAACACTGAACGACATTCAGTGTATTTATTGAGTGTGGTAAAGATAGACGTTATGATTATAACATACTTAAATGTTGTTGATCTTCACAAATGATCTTGATTTGATTTATATAGTGTTCGATTCACGTAATTCATCTCACTTGTTAGGTGAATCAGTATATCTTAAGTAGGGTTACTGAATATGATCAGATTTTCACAGACACTTGACTATCACATTTTTCCTATTTTGCAGTATTATAGCTGATATTCTCTGAAGTATCTGTCACCAAAACCTGACACCTTTTCTATTTAGTTTGTAGTTTTGAAGTGTTCATCAGGACCCGGCCGGCATGTTCTAATAGCCTCGTCTAGTTCTACTGAATTTATCATCACCTTTAGATTACAGATTTTTCTACGAAAACTAACTAATATTAATTATTATTCGAAAGAGCGAACTAAATATGTGTATAATCTGTACTGAAGATTGAATTATAGATGTTATTGATCACTAAATGAAATTTATCGTGTTAGCGAAATCTGAGAGGAGGAAACAAACAGTCTTGGTTACTGATTTTAGTGAACAGATTTTTTACTGTCAGTTAAAAC